TTGTCAATAATTTCCAGTGTGATTATCATCTGTCATCAGAGCTCTGTTTATTTATTGATTTTCTTTGAAGAATTAATCAATCAAAGAAGAGGTGTATAGCTAAGGAAGAGAACTGTAAACTAATGGCTTATTCTTAAATTAAACTGATAGTTTTTTGTGGAGATTATTGAGTTTCACTGAAGTCGTGAACTAATCAATGTTAGACTACCATTAGAAACCTAAAAGCACTGCCACTCTACAGGTTAAGTGTTCACTAGTGCGGTCGAACGCCCTGGGTCGTATTGATGAGTGTGGGTTACGTGGATGCGCACTGCTGATAAGACCCAAAGCAGGGAGAAACGGCTGTTCAGCGCTTCCACTTGTTTTTTATTGTGGTCTAACGATGACTGATACATGATTTCAAAGTGATTAGAATATTGAGAATTAATTACTATTTTACTAAAATAACGTCTATTAGTTAACCTAAAAACCTTGTATGATTTTTGATTTTGTTTGTAATATATTTCTCTGTTAAGAACTTGCACTTATCACATTGAAAAAATAAATGTCAGCTAAATATTTTTGGCAAACTGTTATATTTATATCAGACGTCTATAAGAACACAAAAATTACTGTCGCACAACTGTGTAAGTAAATAGGAACCAAACTTAGAAAGGCTAAAATATTTTAGATTCATCTATGTCCACTTTGGTACATGTTGTTTACCGGTGTAGTAGTAGTAGTAGTAGTAGTAGTGGTAGTAGTAGTAGTAGTAGTAGTAGTAGTAGTAGTAGTAGTGGTAGTAGTAGTAGTAGTAGTAGTAGTAGTAGTAGTAGTAGTAGTAGTAGTAGTAGTAGTAGTAGTAGTAGTAGTAGTAGTAGTAGTAGTAGTAGTAGTAGTAGTAGTAGTAGTAGTAGTAGTAGTAGTAGTAGTAGCAGATCGGAAGAAACCTAAGTGTTCATGTCAAGGCTTAGACGTCAGTTAACAAAGTCACCATGAATGCTGAACTGAGTGAGCCATGTTAGCAAGTATAAACTATTTTGTTTGTGTCAAGTATGTTTGTTATGATCAATGACTAAGTATATTGCGTGACCAGTTTGAAATCATTCATCATGAAGTGAATCCATTTCAGCTTTATTTTCTCTAACATCCTACTATACTTGTTCTGAATAAATTCATTCATTGTTGTATTAATGTTGTCTGATAAATCAAATTGATGCATACTACTTAAATGTGATTGACTGACTGACCGACCGACTGGATTGTGAATATCGAACAGAAATTCAATTAGAACTGCATAGTTAGAAACTATCCATTGTAGTGATTGATTAGTTTGGTCGTTTCGTGTCTTGACTAAGCTTTACATAAAATAAAAATGGTTATTATTACTTGAGAACATTTCCATTGTATTGTCAGAAATTATAAATGAACAAAATAAAATATCACGTGTTTAACATGAATACATACCTTTTTCTTAAAAACTTTAAAATGTATGAATTATTATAAAATGAATGACTAGTAAAGTGAAAACTAGAATCCAGCTAATTATGTCACAAAAACCGGACTTTTTAATTTACAGATTGTATTACACTGCGTATGATGTTTTAGTCACAACCAGACAGAAATACGATTGTAAAAAGATAGAAGAAAACTAACAAACAAATGTTTTTTTACTGTGCACCAGTGCAGTTATACTGAATAGTCGTGCCTGAGCTAGGTTGGTAAGTGTAAACTCCGTGGTTGGAGTCCGCGAGACAATCGTAACCGATGGTAAGATATCTTGAATGACATAGCTAAAAATCGTTTGCAACGGCACACATGTAACAATTCTTTATATTTCCTTAAATTATACTCTCCTGAGTTCCTTGTGACAGTTCTTTTACTTTTCTTAGATTTATTTCACTGTATTATACTCCTTGAGTAATATCTTCAAACCTTAATCTTTTTGATCACTACTTATGCTTTTACTAACTCTACTAGAGTCGACAATTGCATTTCTCTGTGCTAATGTGGTATGACAACTTGAAATAATGTACGTACGTACGAAGTTCTATGTTATAGCCGACAGTCTGAGTAGTCCAACTTTTTCAACTATGATTGTACGTGTTAATGCTAACTTATTCCTATTTATTCAAATATAAATGTCGGACAATATTTGGAATAATAAATTTTTCAAGAATAATTTATTAAATTACATTTATGATTAGATGATCTTAGCCGAAAAGCTGGTAGTACTGTTGAAAATTAAACAACATTAGATAGCTGTTCTATCATAGAGTGGGACTCTTCAACAGTAAGCATGCACACATTTGACATTGGATTGAATCCATGACGTTCAGATCTTGCAGTTAATACTAAATCAGTCGAATCTTTGGATCAATTTACATTAATACAAATTTAGACTCATTCAATTATCAAGAACAATTTTATGATAAACTCTTGCAGATATCACAATAACGTATATCAGGTTACATTTTATATTTGTTATACTATTGACAGCTGAATGAAAATTGTAAAAGACGTTTATTCCGTGCTTATATAAACAGTATGCTTACTAGTGATTAGCTTCGTGAGAAAATCCTCAGAGTTCTAGTGAGAAAACGAGACCAGTGAATTTTAACCCTGTAGAGTGCAAGCAGTAACTACCGAAGACAATGGGTGAGGTTGTGAGAAATTCCTAGATTAGTCAGAGTTAGACATTACCATCGTTGGATACCGTCTCAGTGGTCTAGAGGTTAGGCGTTCGCACGCAGAACCAAATGTCCTGGGTTCAAATCCTGTGAGTTTCTGGGGTTGTCTATGCTCACTGTTGATGAGTCCCAATACAGTTATAATTGATTATGACTACTTTATATAATTAATAAAGTCTAATCAAATAGTCTGTCATTTTACAGCTCGTTTACAGCTAGAAAAGTGTTTTGTGATATATAAAACTCCATGATTTAGTTAGCCCCAGTTTCATTTTCATGCAGAATACTCCAATTAATCAGGATAGAACGAAACAGTGATAATAAAAAAACCGAATACGAAAAGTAATGGAATGATTATATTCTAAATGAACATTCAAATAGACAGAATAACTGTGCAGGTACAGCGAATCCACTAAGTAATGCTGAGTGATAACATATTTAGTTCAAACACACTGGAGAGAAATATAAACAGATAGCAACAGAAAAGTACATAGAAAATGTACGAGAATGAAAGTTCAAAAATATGTACAGTGTGACCAAATTTACTAGAAAAAGTTCTATCCATCAGTTAACACAAAGACTTATGTCAATCTGTCATGTTAACAACATATTGGGTAATTACGAAAATTTGAATAACTAAGAGGTCATTTATCAAGTTTATACAGCTAAACTAGTAAACGTGTTGCTAATCTTGAAAATTTCATATGGTTAAAAATTAAATTTTCTCTCAATATATCAACATTTTTCAATAGATTTTAATAAATTGTTAATAATTATAAATTATTTATACCTGGTCATTTTGTAGTTTGTATCATCTAACTCTTATTTATTTTTATGACATTTAAATTAGTGCTATTGTACTCATTGTTAGTCCGCTTACCTCCACAGCTAACCTTTCATCCATTCCTTTATCACCTCGTGTCGCTGATGCAAACGATTCGAGTACATGAAACGTTATTTTTGGTCTCCTGAAACCCGGCTCTAAACTACATTTTGAAGCTTTTAGTGTTCGAACCTTGTACTGAATAGAACAACGGACTTCATTAGCTAGGACTTTAGAATCCCGAACCATCGGTATTTGCTGCATCTCCTAAAAGCACATACAGGATCCGAGTAAAATCACTCATTTGACCTTACTTTGTCATGATAAAGAACCAACTCGATTTACGCTTCGTGTATCTGCAAGCCCTGCTGTTATTTCCCATAACCTCACCGGTGTAGGTATATCGCTGGGTTCTGAAGCAGGACTAGCTCTCTTAGACTAGATCCCAGTAGGATGTCACCATGGGCTGTCCGACTAAACGGGACACTAAGGACTTAGAAAGATAGGAACACTTCCTGTCAACTCTTCTTTGTCTCTGCCCATGCTTTCAGTGGCTGTAGATCAGATGAGGTATGAGATGGATTTCCTAGAAAGCTTTGGGACCTCCTTCAAAAGTTAGGGCACTCTGATGTAGATATAGTGGCTGCTGACTTCAGTGCTCAAGTAGGTAGACTAAAGGACACTGAAAGATACATCTGTGGATCTTTTAGCATCGCAACTGTTCGAACAGATAATTGCGAACGTCTGCTGAAACTATGCCTATTTATAGCAAATACTAACTAAAAGCATCAGAAAATATTTCTTTTAACATGGCAATCCCTGAATTCCACTCAACGCTTGACCTGTCTAGATTATACTGCTATCAGCTACCGATGGAGAGGTTCGACAGATCACTGTCTCTCATTCTGGAGCACATGTTTAAATTCAAATAATGCTTTAGTACGAGCATATATTTGTCTGCGTCTTGCTGCGCGTAAAAAGGACACTAAAAAGGATCAGTTCATTTGGCCATCAGCCAAACTTCAGTTATTAACCGTCTCATGTCATCTGATCAACGAAATGATATTCAAATAGGAAAATGCGTTTTTAAGAAGACCAATGTTAAGTACTGAACAAAAACAGTTTTAAACATTTTCAATATTAAGAAACTACGTAAAAGTAAACAACGAATCTGTAGTTTATACCCAGTATGATCAAACTGAAACATTTTCCCTGATAGAAATACTTTGGAACGGTACTGTTTTTTTCCTAAAAATAACTCGAAAAATGTATGGGTTAGATCTTTTTTTCAAATTTTTTTTTGCATTTAACTGTTTTTCACTAAACAATATGCATATATGAATGAAAATAAGCAGTGATATCACCTCAAACTTTATTTTTATATCAGTCTTAGTTGGATTACTTCAATATATTTATGTAAATATATTTTTCACCTTCACATCAAAGGTTGTATTCTATGGCTGTATGGATTGGCTAAAACTCGTTGGAATACTCAAAATGAGAATTATATGATCCGACTTGGTTCATTAGCTAGTGGAATTAATCTGTCAAGATCTAATTCACATTTAAACAAATTCAACAACGCCAGTGCTTATATTACAGAAAACAAATTTTGCAAATTACTTTCAAATGCATCGAATGTTTTGAAACAACAAGCGAAATCATGTAAATCCTATGAGACTGCATCAACAGCACGTACACCTTTAACTTGTTGTATTGATCATGGCTACTTATCTGATACACAGTACAAATCTAATTTTAACTATAATCATTCAATATGTCCACTGGATCATGATTTAATTTATGAAACACGAATTGGTGGATCATGGATTTCAGCTTCAGGATCGTTTACATCGTCGTTGGACGCTGAAAGCAGTAATAAAAGTATTCGTAGTTCTGGAAAATTAACTTCTCCTAGTACTAACGTCATTCATAATGATTATCCTCTTAGATCATTGCAACAGATAACAACCGATAGACTACATGATTCAAAATGTCTTCCGCATTTCTGTTTAGAACAATGGAAAAAATTGTTTGAAATCGATGATGTGAGCAAAAAGTGTATATATCATGGTGATTTACAATTAATTTATAAATCGAAACTTGATTTACTTAAACAATATAATAATGTTTTATCGAATAGAATACATACAAAGAAAATTGATCATTCAACAGTAAATAGCACTAATGAAACATTGAAAAATGAACATGGTAATTTAAACAAAAATCAAAGCGACAATGATCAATTTAATTCAAATGAACAAACAAATGTATTGCCAAATAATAATATACATAAAAGATATCATGATTTATTAAATAACAACACTAATAATAATAATAATAATAATACTGATACCAATACTAATTTACAAACATCCACTGATAAATCTAGTAAGACAAAGACAAAATACACATTGACACGTGGTATACATGTATTTTATTTTGAATTTCAATTACCTGCCGATTTACCTGGTACATTTGAATTACCGACAAATTGTTTAGCCGGTGGTGCATCAGCATCGATCAGCTATGCTGTACGCATTGAACTATGCAATAATCGTTTAAAATTAAGACATATACAACAACGTGAAATAATTGTATTCCGACCATTGGAATTGATACATTTTCCTAGATTAAGAGTAAGTTTGTTTGCACTTAATTTTTTTTAAATTAAGAATTAGTGTGATTTATTTTTCTATTTTTGAAATAGGTAATATTTTTTTTGTAATTTATTTTACGACGATTCCGACTGTTCCATTTTGTTGATATTTTGATTGGAAAATTGATCAGGCTTAGTTGATATGTGTTTTTTCTCTGTGGACTACTTCGATATACCCATAATGATTTAATTTTGAGTAGAATAGATAGAATGTGACAAGCAGTGGAATCCAGGACGAGTAATTCGTTCAGGAGTGAACATCAGCTCTGGGATGCAGGCGCGTCTAACTGATGAATCCTGAACAGAACGAAATGCATGTCTCGGATTACATTACATAACACATTCCATCTATTCTATGTATGTTTTAGATAATAAGAGGAATTGAAATCGAAGATGCACTGTTCATTCTGCTTGACATTCTTTAGCTTGATTTACTTGCACTTCGGTATGGATGCTGAAACTGAAACTCACTCGACGCTCTTCGGCTAATAAACATCTACGAAACGTCATTCACTTGAAATTATGGATGATATCGGGACAAGTGAGACTGATTGTGTTCACCTTTCAATAAAATACAGATGCTCACTAAGAACAGCATCTTTTTTCACTGTCGATTAAACGCCATATAATATAATCATACCTGCAATCAAATTCTTTACAAGAGAGAATGGTGTTTAAAAGTTACAAAGAATTTCATCGCATAACCATTGATCACAACTAACAATCAGGGAGCATAGCTTTTATTTTTTTTCCAAAAAATAAAATTCAATTTGAAGACAACTATCAGTCTATGTTGATGATAAAATTCACATCAAGAACAGATTCATTAAGATTTTCGCTCATAGTTTACGAAAAAAAATATATTCATACATTCAATGTGATATCATGGAGATTTCTCTTCAGATTACAAAATATTGTAATGTAATTAGTAGACACAATTGTAATGAAATACAGTGATTTTTGATGTACCGTTCACTTGATTAATGTGTTGTTATTCAAAAGGGAAAAAAAATATAGACTCATCATTTTATTTTATAATGTATATAGTCAACAGTTGAAATGCAATTTTTAATGAATTATATAACTAGTCTGTTGTAATACAGGCATTACAAATTAGCTGATTAGCATGAAATAAAGAGCATTAAAGATGTATATATATATTTTTTGCAACAAACTTATCAAACACTTAATTATTTAACCAAGAATCAATAAGGAGTTAGTTGAAATGGTAAAAAAAGTAGATTAATTTAATCTTGAAAGTGAATCTACAGAAAACCGAGTGAATTGTTAAAAAGAAAGAAGTGTCCATTACATTTATAAGTCAAAAAAATCACCCACCATTTCCAATAAAATAAAATAAGTTTTATCATACACTAAACACAAATCAAAATCGAATCACATCACGTGGATGGAAAATTTATTTTTCAAATGTTTAAATCTGAAATCGTCAATCAGTCATTAGAAACCTGCAAGCACCGAAAGACGGCCGTTTCGTTCTGGTATGGGACTCATCAGCATTGCGAACCCACGAATCATGCACCTCGCAGGATTCGAACCCAGGACCTTCGGTATTGTGCGCGAACGCCTAACCATTGAATCACTGGGCCGGAATCCAACGGTGTTAATGTCAAACTCTGATTGACCTACGGATGAGTCCTATACCAGGACGAAACGGCCGTCTTTCAGTGCTTCTAGGTTTCTAGTGGTGGTCTAACAATGATTGATTCATGATTTCAAATGTGTGTAAAAACACAAACCTCCAAAACTCTGCCCGAAAAAGTTTAAATCGTAAACATTCAGCTTAGATAAACAGGCACACATTGAAAAATGATACACTGATGGTTGAAGTTGTTTTTTTTTGCAAAATCATTTTAATTCCCCTATTCGAATGGAAGTTTGTGAAGATTATTAGAATTTTAATGCCATGACAAAAGTATTTTAAAATCTGTATTTCACTGATTGCTATCAAATGATATCTGTGAACCAGATAGTTTTTTTCAATGTTTTTTTGATGTATTCATGAAGTTAAAAAACTGTATTTCAACATATCTAGCAAAGTTTAAGATGGTTAGAAGGAAAATTAAAATATTATCTTTATTAAATCAGAAATGAAAGTACGTTCAGTTATTGATATCAATTTTATAAAACGATCAGAATGTAATGAGCTTTGGAAAAAAAACAAAAGTAAGGATGATTACAATAGAACTAGTCAACCAAAATCGACATATGATATGATTGTTAGACTTGCACACCGTAGTTGTTCAGCTGAGTTATATCAGTTGAAATACTTGTTTCTTTAGATCTTAGATAGAGACAAGGAGCTTGGTTGGAGGGTAGTAAGACTTTGAAGTCATATAGCTGACTGTACATGGATACGATGTCAGCACAGTGTTTCTCTACTCTGATGCGACACAAGGCTAATTTTAGAAATATGTCGACCATAAAAGTAGAATAACTTACTTAAATTGATATTGTTGGCAGTGAAGTTTGAAAAATTTAGACCAAACACTGAACCACTCACGAAAAAGACATCCATCATTTGTACACTGGTAACTGTAATAACTAACTTGTTCCAATAATCAAGATGCAGACTCTTTTAAAAATATTTCAAAAAGTAGTACTCTTGCATGGTGTAACTAACTAGGATGTTAAAACTAATCTCGTCCCATACTAGGACGAAACGGCCGTCCAGTGCTTCCAGGTTTCTAATGGTGGTCTAACAATGATGATTGATTGATGATTTCAAATGTGTAATCTCATCCTGTAAAATATGACTGTAATAAAGTGGATGTATGTCCTATGTGACAAATTATTGTAATTAGAGTATGAAACGAATCATAGTCATATAATTTTTCTTATTTATCACTGAATTCCAACTTTTTATTATGATCAAGTAAAGACTTCATTGAATGTTTTCTTTTTAAAGAAAACCCGCGGGACATTTTATATAATTCACTTAGATTGTCATAATAGCTCAAATAATCATTTCTATTATTCCTTTAAGTAACCAGACTAATTAAGCATATATTAAATTTATTTTGCATAACAGGGTTGTGGAGAGTGTTGAGTTGCTTTTTGAAATAATGAATCCATCAAGACTGTGAATTGATTGAAGTTAGAATTTAACACCATCAGACACCAGGTCAGTGGTCCATAGGCTATACGTTCACGCCGAAGCCCGAAGGCCCTGGGTCGTGGATGCGCACTTCTGATGAGTTCCATGGCTAGGATGAAAAGGCCACTCAGTGCTTTCATCACTGATCAATTCATCATTTCCAAAAAAATGAGTTTCTAAGTTTCTAAGCTGTAGTTGTAAGACAATCGTCCATCAAATGAACAGATCAGGCATGATTCGGATGTACGACAGAAAAAATTATAATTTAAATGGCTATACATAAAAAGTATCATATTTTTTATACGATACTTAGATAAGATAAAAAAAAATTAAATTGCGCCAAATAAAACATAAGAATGACATTTACATAATGTTACTTACTACATTCATTAATAATATGAAAATCTATTTTCCCGCTGAGTGGATATTCAATGTTTTTTAATGGTAATGTTCGTCTACTACTTCAAGTACTTGTTTTTTGTACGATAAATGTATACATATTTTTTCTGTCTTTAATGAAGAGGCAAATTTTTACGAATCAATTTGATTCTTTTTTTTACTCAATAAGATTGAATTATCATTAGATGATATAAACAAAATGTAACTTATGCAGTCCATACAATGAATGTGACAATTATTTAACTCGGTTGTAGTTTAAACTCTGACTAAAAGATTAATATTGTCACTTTCTTGTATAAACTTTCATAGGTAGATTACAAGGTGTGAATTGGTTTCGATACAAATAACGAATACTTACTTACATAGAACAGTATTCGACCTTGTATTTAAATGATTTATATTAGTTTAAATATGGTGAAGAAAAATTGTATCTCAAGTGGATGATTTCATTCTCTGAACTGGATGGTTTAGTTGTGGAATTTTCACTGTTCGTCTGAACAACATTATCAGAATAAACTTCAGGTAGAGTGGTGAAGTATTCGAATTCGCCTCTTAGCTTGCCCTGTTGACCTAGATCTTGATTAGTTGTTATTTACCTTTAATCTATGATTGTCAGTATTATTATTTCGATTGTATCCCATTTTGATTTGGTTCTTGATCCTATAGTTGTCTTTGATGTTTCCAATTGGTTGACACATTGTATCAGTGTCAATGTGTTCATTGATTGCCGATTGATATGTGTAGGATACTTCTAAAAATTCTCCAGTTTCCTTCCTATTACCTCCATCCGGTATTTTAACATTTTCCCAATTCAAATGTATGTCCACAGTAGTCTGCATGTGGGCATAGTGTAATTATAATATATATTTCTGATCCGGTTATTCATGTGTAGAACTTATTCGATCTTGACTATCCTAAAGGAATCAATCTAAGTTCTGCTTTCCTTGGGTTGTAACTACATGTTGATTAGAGTTGAACAAATTATAATTCATTAGAATGGTTTGTTTACAAAACTTCCTTATAGTTTTTGCGCCTAGGCATATATTTAAAAAAACATAATTATGATGATGGAGTTTCGCTTTTTTGAGTTCATCCACCTGAGCTACAGATTCTCTCCACAATCTGGAAAACATAAGGATGGCTTAATTTTTAATGTTGTCTCGTAAAGATATTCAATACATTTCTAAAGTTTATGACACATTTATCGGTCATAAATTATATTTTTGATTATGAATCTAAAATTAAATTATTTTGTAATCTGAATATTTACTCTGCATTACCATAATTCTGATTCAGCTAGTAAGGTATAAAACTTTTTCGACGTCAACTATCAATATAGTTCTATTTTCTCTAGATTTAACGAAATGTTGATTAGATTTGAATGATTTGTTTGAGTTCTTTGAGTTCACAGAACGAAACTCCATCACAATCATCCACCTGGGCTATAGATTCTCTTCACCATTTGG